AAGTAGTAGTAGTAGTAGTAGTAGTAGTAGTAGCAGAAGTAGTAGTAGTAGTAGAAGTAGAAGTAGTAGTAGAAGTAGAAGTAGTAGAAGTAGTAGAAGTAGAAGTAGTAGTAGAAGTAGAAGTAGTAGAAGTAGAAGTAGTAGTAGTAGTAGTAATAGTAGTAGTAGTAGTAGTAGTAGTAGCAGAAGTAGTAGTAGTAGTAGTAGTAGTAGTAGTAGTAGTAGAAGTAGTAGAAGTAGTAGAAGTAGTAGAAGTAGTAGTAGTAGAAGTAGAAGTAGTAGAAGTAGTAGCAGAAGTAGTAGTAGTAGTAGTAGTAGTAGTAGTAGTAATAGTAGTAGTAGTAATAGTAGTAGTTGTAGTAGTAGAAGTAGTAGTAGTAGTAGTGGTGGTGGTGGTGGTGGTGGTGGTGGTGGTGGTGGTAGTAGTAGTAGAAGTAGTAGTAGATGTAGAAGAAGTAGTAGTAACAGTAGTAGTAATAGTAGTTATAGTAGTAGGAGTAGTAATAGTAATAGTGGTGGTAGAAGTAGTAGTTGAGTCAAAGTAGTAGAAGTGGTAGTAGTACTAGTAGTAGTAAATGTAGTAATAGTGGTAGTAGAAGTAGTAGGTTTACAAAGTTATTATTTAAGTACCTTGACAGCCATACAGCTCTACTCGCATAGATATATGGTGATACCAAGACACTGGTCGAAAGCGGATAAAACGTGCTGTGATGGGTGGGTGAAGGTCATTATAAACAATTGAATTCTGGTCGTTGTTTCCATCAAAAACCTGAAAAAGGAAGTAGAATAAAAAATCCGCCCAATGCTACAGGGTTAATTGTGTATAAGGTGGTGCCATGAAGATTGTACCTCTCCCTTGCAAGTGTAAAGGCAAGATAAGTAAAAAATACACATTTTTTAAATTTTTTTTATCCTTTTTCGAAAAGAAAAAAAAACAAGCAAACAAATCTAATCACCTTCCCTGCTGTATCTCCTGTTTCCCGATAAAAGTGGAAGATTTTACCATCTTCACTGTATTGTAGTCTGTATTTCGTTACCCACTGGCTAGCATCATGTCTTCCTTGAGTAGCCACACGGGTCACATTATTACTTTGATCGAGAAGGTCGATCTGAAGCCATTGACTCGAATTGTTATTACCAGCTGACCAAGATCCTCCTAAACCTGCGGTTGCGTTAGAATTAAGTCTTCCCTGCATGGCGGCATGAGCATCGTCCAGTTGAGAAGAAGAACTTAATTGCCCGTCTGTTATTGAGCTATTTCCCAAACCGAGAGGCTCCTGACACTCTAAAGGTTTAACGAAATATTTGAGCAAAAGTTAAAATTATTATTTTCAGGAGATCAGGGTATATGATTAAATTGTACATGCACAATGGCACAAAGTCGATTGTATCTCAACAGTGAGTGAAATCAATGCGCATAGCTTTCTACTCCATAATAACACGACGAGGGCGGGTTGATTATCAATACTGGGTTTCATTTATCGACAGCATGATGCATGTCGAATGAATTGTTTTGTTTAATAGTCAGCAACCTTGTCCTCCATTCCGTTACCTCGACAGCCGTAAAGCTCTATCCTCATTGAAATGTGGTTAAACCAAACCTGAGGTCGAAAGCGGACGAAGCGTGCTTTGATGGGTGGCTCTAGCTCATGAAAAACTATAGTGCTTCTATCTGAGTTACCATCAAACTCCTAGGAGAGAGAATTGGAAAAATGTTAATAACCCAAGGATATAATATGTTCCTCTAAACACACTTTTGAGTCAGCTACATTGTAGGAGGTCATTTAAAGATATGAAAGATTTTTGTTTCCCCAATATCTGTCTCCAAGTTTTGTCATCTTTTATTTTTATGCTGTCTATGAAATGAAACCTTGACTTTATTCATATAATTTTGAGTTACATTGCATTACTATTATTTGTGTGGTTTTCCTTAAGGAACTAAAGCGGAATTTTGAAGTAAGTAATAACGAAAGAATATTGGAATATGTAAGGAGGAAAACCAACAGGTAAGCCACCAGATTATTTCGTTAATTAAAGAGAACTATTTAAATGCATTAAATTTCTTTACCTTATCTATATTTTTTCCTTTTCCCTTATAAAACTGAAGTTTGGCTTCATCATTACCATACTGCAGCTTGTATTTGATTACCCACTGGCTATAGTCATCCCTCCCCTGTGTTCCTACACGCGTAACTTTGGCGTACTGACTACCTAGATCCACC